CTCCCCCCCTGCCCACCTTCCCCGCTGCCACCCTCCGAATACCGCTGTGAACCGGGCACCTCCAGGTCAGCCAGCTGCAGGGCGAGCGCTCCTACCACATCTTCTACCAGCTGGTGCGCGGCGCGGACAAGCGGCTGCGGACGGCGCTGAAGCTGCCCGCCAAGCCGGAGGACTTTAAGTTCCTCTCACAGTCTGGCTGCCTGGTGAGTGGGCGCGCATTGCTGTGGTACGTGAAACGGCGCGCATGCAGGTTTATTTGAGCTGCCTATGCGCAGGCTCAATTGGTTGTCTAGCGTGAGTACACTTTTATGGATGTGATCAGGACAGGTCTCTTGGGACGCAAGCGAGGGAGGTCACCCGCCCGCGACCGCATTCACCCTCCCAAGTCTGCTGCGCTCTAGTCCGCTGGTGCAGGCCGCGCTCGCGCGTATGGCAAGGCCCCTGCTCAGTCGCCGCGTCACGTCCCCGTGATAGCGCTAGCTGTCCGCCTCGCCTCCTTACCCCTGCCCTCTGCGCCACCCCCCTGCTGCCTGCGGCTCCGCCCCGCAGAGCATCCAGGGCGTGGACGACGGCAAGGCGTTTGCAGAGGTCACCGCGGCGCTGACCGACGTGGGCATCAGCCCCGATCAGCAGGAGGTCCTGTTTGCCCTGCTGTCAGGCGTGCTGTGGCTCGGCAACATCAAAATCGTGGGCGTCACGGACGACAGCTCAAAGGTGGAGAGGGATGCGGCGCTGGAGGCGGCGGCGAGCATGCTGGGGGTGCCGCTGGACGTGCTGGCGCACGCGCTGACACACAAGAAGGTGCGGCAGTGGTGGCGGCGGTGGTGGCGGCGGCGGCGGCGGCGACGCCGCTCTTGCGGTCGGGACGGGGCGCCCGCTCTGCCGCGCGGGCTGGCTGAAAGCCGTTGCGTTTTGCGCTGGGGTGACAGCAGGCCTGCAACGCGCGGGCAACTGCGTCGGTGCGTTGTGCTTCTCAGCTGCTGCCGGTGCTGCGAATGCGGGCCGCTGCCTGGCCACACTGCCGACTGCGCCGCCTGGCTTGCTTCAAGCATCATCGGGTACATGCGCCAGCCTCTGCTGCTCACGTGGCGCATCGTATTCAGATCCGCACGCGCGACGAGCTGATTGTCAAGCCGCTCACCAAGGACGAGGCGTCCGACACGCGGGACGCCCTCGCCAAGGCCATCTACGCCGGCGTCTTCAGATGGGTGCGCTGCCGTGTCGGCAGGGGGAAGCGGGGCGGGCCGGGGCACCCAGCTGAAGCCCCGCCTTCCAGGGATGGCCCTCAGTGCCCGTATCATCGAGGGTGTGCGCAGCGTGAGTGCCAAGCACCATTGCTGCAATGTCCCTGCTTCCCGGGCCCTTCCTCCCTCTGCAAACCACCCTCCCTGCCGTGCTTTCAGCGCCCCTCTCTCGTTGACCGGCCCCTGACCCCCCCCCTTTGGAACCGCGCCAGGTGGTGACGCGCATCAACGAGTCCCTGGACACGGGTCGCCGCGGCAGCGGCCAGTTCATCGCCATCCTGGACATCTACGGCTTCGAGTGCTTCGCCACCAACAGCTTCGAGCAGCTGTGCATCAACTACGCCAACGAGGCGCTGCAGCAGCAGGCGCGCGCGCCCGGCCCGCCCCGCCGCCGCCTGCTGGGGCCAGCAACGGCCTCGGCCCTGCCTGTGGGCGCGTCTTGTCCGCGAGCTGGCGCCACAAGCCTCGTCCGCCCGTGAACCCTTCCTATCCTGATCCTCGCACAAGTTAAGCCCGCCTGCGCTTCTGCTCAGAACTCCATCCTCGCTGGGTGCGCCATCCCCCTCTGCTCCGCAGTTCACGCAGCACCTGTTCACGCTGGAGCAGGAGGAGTATATGTCTGAGGGCATCGACTGGACAAAGGCAAGGGGGCCGGCTGCTGGTTTGGGGCCAAGGGCAGATGCGTTGCCTGGGATGGGCGGCCAGGGACGGGTCCCAGGGATGGGTGGCCTTACGTCACGTCCCACGTGCGGCGTGTTCTATGTACGCCCTGCAGCATGTTGCGCTGATGGATCGACCCTGCATTCAGCACGGTCGTGCTGACAGCAATGCAGGGCGAGCCCACTTGGGTCAAAATGCCTCCCTGCCGGCCTTACTTCGCGCACTCTTGACCTGAGTCGGCCCGACCCACCCGGCCGGCCCTCAGGTGGAGTGGACGGACAACAGCGCCTGCCTGGACGCCATCGACGCGCTGCCCCCCAAGGGCCTGGGCGTGCTGGCCGTCCTGGACAGCCAGTGCAAGTTCCCCAAGGTGTGAGCCGGGGTAATCCTGATACTGGGTCCGCGCAGAGCAGCACGCGTCGTCTTCCTTGCAGATTGCGCACCAGCGCTGTCGCGCTGCCTGCTTCACCTCTGCAGAGATTTTTTCAACGTCGTCGCCGCCGATGCCCGCGCCGTGCCGCCTCCCACGCCGCATGTGACCCGCGCAGGCGTCGGACGACACTTTTGTCACTGCGCTTCGCGACGCCCTCGCCAACAACGCCATCTTCTCCACAGACCCGCGCCACCCGGTGAGGGGCGGGGCCCCCGAGTTCGCTTGCCGCCCAGGATGCGCCCCTCCCATCTCCCTGCCTGCTGTCTCCCCACATCCATGCACCCCTCCCCGCGCCACTGCCACTCCACGCACACCGCGTATCTCTCATCCCTCCGCACGCCCCTCCTCCCAATTTTGCCCCCCAAATTCTCACTCCTCCGCTCGCGCCTTCCCCCCTCCCCTCAAACTCAATCGCCCTTTCAACAGGACCAGTTCCTGCTGCGCCACTACGCGGGCCCCGTGGCCTACAGCACCGCGAATTTTCTCGAGAAGAACCGCGACACCCTCAACGCCGACCTGGTCGAGGTGCTGCGCGCCTCCACCAGCTGGCTGCTCTCCCACATCGGCGACGTTGTCGCGGACGAGTCCGAGGGCCGCCGCGGCGGCGGCACGGTCAGCAGCCGCTTCAGCAGCCAGCTCAAGGAGCTGCTGGCCATGCTGGACGTGACGGGCCTCCACTTCGTGCGCTGCATCAAGCCCAACGCCGCGCTCGTGCCGTCCAGCTTCGCGCCCGACCTCGTGCTCGGCCAGCTGCGCTGCTGCGGCGTGCTCGAGGTCGCGCGCGTGAGCCGCGCGGGGTTCCCCACTCGCTACCCGCACGCGGCGTTCGTGGAGCGGTACAGGGTGATGCTGCCCAAGAGCCGCCTGGCAGTGCTCGGCAGCGGCGGCGGCCGCGGCGTGCGTGAGGCGATCGTGGAGCTGCTGGATTCCTTTGGCGTCAAGAAGGGGCAGTACGAGATCGGACACACCAAGGTCTTCTTCCGGCCGGGTGAGCGGGCCGAGCGACAGAGCGTGCGTCCGCGGCGGGCGGACTGCAGTGCGAGGGGCGGGCGGGAGTGCATGCAGCACCTCTGCCATGGCCTCTGCCGGCGCTCCTTTCTTTGCCACGCTCCTTCAGGCCGTGTCTCCCCTTGCCTCAAGCCATTCACACGCCCGTGCACTTCATCGCACCCTTAGCGCGCCCCGCCCCCAGCTCCCAACTCCCACCTGCCAACCTCATTGCCCACCCCTCGACCCTGCCGCCCGCCTCGCCGCCCCACCACAGGCGTGCTGGCGTTTGTGGAGGACCGATGGGCGCGCATGCAGGCGGCCAGCCTGCGCGTCCAGGCCCACTGGCACATGTGGAAGGCCCGCACCGCGTTTTTTGCGCTGCGCGCCGCCGCGCGCCGCCTGCAGACCGACTGGCGCGCGCGCGCCGCGCGCGTCCCCTTCAACCAGCGCGTGAAGGAGCACCGCGCGGCGATCGTGCTGCAGAAGGGCTGGCGCGGCGCCAAGGCGCGCGAGCAGTTCCACACCGCCCGCGCCGCGGCCACCACGATCCAGATGGCGGAGCGCCGCCGCGCGCTGCGCAAGCGCTGCGCTGTGCGCCTCAAGGAGCGGCTCGCGCGCGAGGCGGCCGAGCGGCAGGCGGCGGCGGAGGCGCGGCGGCGGGAGGAGGGGTTCGAGGTGCTCAAGCAGCAGTACGACGTGGAGACCCTGGACGACGTGCGCGCGGCGCTCGCGTGCTACAGCGCGCTGCGCGACGAGCTCGGGGCGCGCGACCCCGAGGAGGTGCGCGCCGCGCTGGCGGTGTACGGCGCGCTGCGGCGCCTGGAGGACGCCAGCGGCGGCGCGGCCGCGGGGGGCGAGGAGGGGCGGGTCGCGGCGCTCAAGGAGGGGCTGGCGCTGGCGGCGGCGGCGCGGAAGGGCGGGGCCACGGACCCGGCGGCGCTCGCAGCGGCGCTCGACGTGGCGGCCGCTGCGCGGGGCGCGCTTGGAGAGGCCGAGGCCACGCCGGCCCGCGTCACCGCCGTGCTCAAGGAGCACGGCGCTGCGGCGGCTGCGCTTGGCGGCAACGCGCGCCTGCTGTCGGACCCCTCGGGCCTCGCCGACGCCGTCTCCGCGCGCAGCGAGATGCGTGCGGCGGGCCTCACCGGCGCCGCCGCGCTCGCCGCCGCCGTCGCGCTCGCCAAGGCGGCGGGCGGCAGCGCGCCCGAGCAGGTCAGCGCGGCGCTGGCGGTGCAGCGCGCCGCGGGCGACGCGGGCGCGGAGCAGGTGGCGGCTGCGCTCGCGTTCAAGCGGGCGGCCGTGTCCGCCGGCCTGCCGGGCACAGACGAGCTCCCCACAGTTGGCGCGCTGCGCAGGGCCGCCGCCGGCGCCGGCGCCGACCAGGTGGCAGCTGCGCTGAAGCTGCACACGGCTGCCGCGGCGGCCGGCCTCGACTCTGCCGAGCAGCTGGCCGCGGCGGCCGCGCTCAGCCGCGCGGCCGGTGACAGCGGGCCTGAGCAGGTCGCTGGCGCGCTGGCGCTGCAGGAGGCTGCGGTGGTGGCCGGCCTGGGCACGACGGCGCAGCTGGCGGCGGCCGCGGCCACGCAACGCGCGGCGGCTGGCAGCCAGCCGGAGCAGGTGGCGGCGGCCCTGAGGCTGCAGGAGGTGGCGGGGGGCGCTGGCCCGGAGGACGTCGCGGCGGCGCTGGAGCTGCAGGCTGCGGCCGTCCAGGCGAGTGTTGCATCCCCCGAGGCGCTGACGGCAGCGGCGGCACTTGCAGCCGCGGCGCCCGGCCACACGCCAGAGCAGGTTGCTGCAGCTCTGGAGCTGCAGGCTGCGGCAGCCGAGGCGAGCGTTGCTTCCCCTGCCGCACTGACAGCAGCAGCAGCACTGGCAGCCGCGGCGCCAGGCCGCACACCAGACCAGGTTGCCGCGGCACTGGAGCTGCAGGCTGCGGCAGGCGAGTCGAGCGTTGCTTCCCCTGCGGCGCTGGTGGCGGCGGCAGCTTTGGCTGCCGCGGCGCCTGGCCGCACACCAGAGCAGGTTGCTGCAGCGCTGGAGCTGCAGGCTGCGGCAGCCGAGGCGAGCGTTGCTTCCCCTGCGGCGCTGACGGCCGCAGCGGCCCTGGCAGCCGCGGCCCTCGGCCGCACGCCAGAGCAGGTCGCCGCGGCGCTGGAGCTACAGTCTGCAGCAGCCGAGGCGAGTGTTGCTTCTCCTGCGGCGCTGACAGCGGCAGCAGCGCTTGCAGCTGCAGCGCCTGGCCGCACTCCGGACCAGGTTGCTGCAGCGCTGGAGCTGCAGGCTGCAGCAGGCGAGGCAAGCGTTGCTTCCCCTGCGGCGCTGACAGCGGCAGCAGCACTTGCAGCCGCTGCACCTGGCCGAACACCGGACCAGGTTGCTGCAGCGCTGCAGCTGCAGGCTGCGGCAGCCGAGGCGAGCGTTGCTTCCCCTGCGGCGCTGATGGCCGCAGCGGCACTGGCGGCCGCGGCGCCCGGCCGCACACCAGAGCAGGTCGCCGCAGCGCTTGAGCTGCAGTCTACGGCAGCCGAGGCGAGCGTTGCTTCCCCTGCCGCACTGACAGCAGCGGCGGCGCTGGCAGCCGCAGCACCCGGCCGCACACCAGAGCAGGTCGCCGCAGCGCTGGAGCTGCAGGCTGCGGCAGCCGAAGCAAGCATTGCTTCTCCTGTGGTTCTGGTGGCGGCGGCGGCACTGGCAGCCGCAGCGCCAGGCCGCACACCAGAGCAGGTCGCCGCAGCGCTGGAGCTGCAGGCTGCGGCAGCCAAGGCGAGCGTTGCTTCCCCTGCCGCACTGACAGCAGCGGCGGCGCTCGCAGCCGCCGCGCCGGGCCGCACACCAGAGCAGGTCGCCGCAGCGCTTGAGCTGCAGTCTGCGGCAGCCGAGGCGAGCGTTGCTTCCCCTGCGGCGCTGACAGCAGTGGCGGCGCTGGCAGCCGCGGCCCCGGGCCGCACACCGGATCAGGTCGCCGCAGCGCTGGAGCTGCAGGCTGCTGCCGGGAGCAGCACCCCTGCTGACGTGGCGGCAGCCCTGCAGCTCAAGTCAGCGGCTGCAGGCGCCAGTGTGTCTTCCCCTGAGGCGCTGGTGGCGGCGGCAGCGCTCGCGGCTGCAGCTGCTGGCCGCACGCCTGAGCAGGTTGCGGCTGCGCTTGAGCTGCAGGCTGCGGCAGGCAGCAGCACCCCTGCTGACGTGGCGGCAGCCCTGCAGCTCAAGTCAGCGGCTGTAGGCGCCAGTGTGTCTTCCCCTGAGGCGCTGGTGGCGGCGGCAGCGCTTGCGGCTGCAGCTGCTGGCCGCACGCCTGAGCAGGTTGCTGCAGCGCTTGAGCTGCAGGCTGCGGCAGGCAGCAGCACCCCTGCTGACGTGGCGGCAGCCCTGCAGCTCAAGTCAGCGGCTGCAGGCGCCAGTGTGTCTTCCCCTGAGGCGCTGGTGGCGGCGGCAGCGCTTGCGGCTGCAGCTGCTGGCCGCACGCCTGAGCAGGTTGCGGCTGCGCTTGAGCTGCAGGCTGCGGCAGGCAGCAGCACCCCTGCTGACGTGGCGGCAGCCCTGCAGCTCAAGTCAGCAGCTGCAGGCGCCAGTGTGTCTTCCCCTGAGGCGCTGGTGGCGGCGGCAGCGCTCGCGACGGCAGCTGCTGGCCGCACGCCTGAGCAGGTTGCTGCAGCGCTTGAGCTGCAGGCTGCTGCTGGGAGCAGCACCCCTGCTGACGTGGCGGCAGCCCTGCAGCTCAAGTCAGCAGCTGCAGGCGCCAGTGTGTCTTCCCCTGAGGCGCTGGTGGCGGCGGCAGCGCTTGCGGCTGCAGCTGCTGGCCGCACGCCTGGGCAAGTTGCTGCAGCGCTTGAGCTGCAGGCTGCTGCTGGGAGCAGCACCCCTGCTGACGTGGCGGCAGCCCTGCAGCTCAAGGCAGCGGCCGCGGGCGCCAATGTGTCTTCCCCTGAGGCGCTGGCGGCAACAGCGGCCCTGGCAGCTGCGGCGGCTGGCCGCACGCCTGGGCAGGTTGCGGCTGCGCTCAAGCTGCAGGTAGTGGCAGGGGCCAGCACTCCCGACGATGTTGCCACGGCTCTCCAATTGCAGGCGGCTGCGGCGGGTGCAAGCATTGCTTCACCTGAGGCCTTGGTGGCGGCGGCGGCGCTGGCCAAGGCAGCTGGCGGCAGCTCGCCGCAGCAGGTTGCCGCTGCGCTCCAGTTGCAGGCCGTGGTCGGCGGCAGCGCGGTGGACGACGTGGCTGCGGCGCTCAAGGTGCAGGCCGCGGCTGCAGGCAGCTCGCCCGAGGATGTTGCCGCGGCCATCAGGCTGCAGTCTGCGGCTCGTGCTGCTGGACTTGCCTCTCCCGACGACGTCGCTGCCGCGGCGGCCCTCGTGAAGGCCGCTGACGGCGCGGCTCCCGAGGACGTGGCGGCCGCGCTCAAGCTGCGCCACACTGCAGAGGGCGCGGGCCTGACCACCGCGGCCGGCCTCGCCGGCGCCGCGGCCCTGGCCGCGGCGTCTGCTGGCGCGTCCCACGAGGACGTGGCGGCGGCGCTGAAGCTGCAGGCTGCGGCTGCTGAAGCCCAGCTGGCCGGGCCCGAGCAGCTCAAGTCTGCCGCGGCGCTTGTCGCGGCTGCGGGCGGCAGCACGCCCAAGGACGTGGCGGCGGCGCTGCGGCTGCGGGCGGCAGCGCAGGCGGCCAACCTGGGGTCGGCGGAGCAGCTGGCGGCAGCGGCCGCGCTCGCCACGGCTGCAGGCGGGCGCTCGCCCGGCGAGGTGGCGGCCGCGCTGCAGCTGCGTGCGGGGGTAGAGTCGGCCGGCGGCCCGACGGAGCCGGCCGCGCTGCTGGCCGCGCTGGGCGGCGCGGCGGCCGCAAGCGCCCACGGCTCTGCCGACCCTGCGGAGGCCGGCGAGGCCGGGCAGCTGCTGCAGGCCGCGCGTGCGGCGGGCATCAGCGACCCATCAGAGGCCGCCGCGGCGTTTGCCAGCTGGGCGACCGTTCGCCACCACGTCTCCGGCCCCGACGGCCACGGCCCGACGCCGACCGACGCCGCGCGGCGCGTCCGGCGTGCTCTGGGCATGTACGGCATCGCGACCAGCCAGGGCTGCGGCGAGAAGCGCGACTTTGTTGGGGCGATCGGCCTGTTTGGCGTGCTGAGGGAGGAGCGGCTGACAGAGGAGGTGGAGCTGCGTGCGGCCGCGGCGCTGTATGGCGCGGTGAGGGAGGAGGGCCTCGCGCCCGAGGAGCTGCAGTCGGCGGTCGCCACGTGGGCAGCGCTGCGGGACGAGGCGGGCGAGGGCGTGGCGCCCGAGGACGCGCGCGACGCGCTGCGGGCGCACATCCAGCGGCGGCGCGGCGGCGCGGGCGGGGACGGCGCGGGGGCGGCGCGGGGCGGCGGCGTGACGCTGCACGGGGACCAGGGGGTCGGCAACGGCGGGAGCGGCGGCGGCGGCGAGGAGGTGGTGGCGCTGCGGCAACAGCTGCAGGTCGAGCGGGCGGCGCGGCAGCGGTATGCATCGCAGCTGGAGCAGCAGGCGATCGATTGGATGGAGCAGGTGGGTTGCTGTATGGACAGTGGAGGCGATGTGTGCAGAAGGGCCGCGCTGAATGGCAGCACAAGGCCAAGCCGTGTCTTAGCAGCCACTCAATCCTGGCTGTGAGTGCGCGGCACCCATCTGTCAGCCCGCAGCGGTGGCAAGTCCTGGGCGCACCGGCCCACCTCCCCCACCCGCCCTCCCAACCACCCGTGACTCAACCCCGACAGGTGCGCCTGCTCAAAGAGCACATCGACACCCTCCGCTCCCGGATGCCGCCCGGCGGCGCACCCCTCGGCCCCTCCACCCCGCCCGCCAACCGCAGCGCCGCCGACGCCGCCGCGGGCGCGGCCGTGTCGGCGCTCGCGGCGGACTTCATGGGCAAGGCGCCGCTGTTTGAGGACGACGCGGACTTCATAGCGGAGGTGGCCGACGGCGCGTCGTTCGCCCCGGGGATGGACCCCCAGTCGGAGCTGGACCTGCTGCGGCGCAAGTACGACGCGTGGAACAAGGGCTTCAAGGAGCGCCTGCGCACCGCTCAGGGCGCGCTGCGCAGCACGCGCGGCCGCGGGGGGCCGGGTGTCATTGACCTGAGCAGCATGCCAGACCTGTCGGCGCCGGGGCTGCTTGGGGAGGACGAGCCGGGGACGGCGAGGTCTGGGGACAGCTGGGACAACCCTGGTGGTAGCGGTGGCAAGAAGAAAAAGGTGGGTTGGCCGTGCCCCCGTGTGCGCATGTGAATTCGTGTGTGTGTGTGTGTGTGTGTGTGTGTGTGTGTGTGTGTGTGTGCGTGCGTGCACGCGCACGTGTGCATGTATTCGGTAGTAATTAGGGTCAGAGCGCGTTGGGTAATGCAGCAGCAAAACAAGCTGATTGGCCGTGCATGCACGTCATCTTTGTGAGCAACCTCTGAGCAACCTTCTACCTCACATTGTTCTCATGTCCCATTGCCACCCTCTGTCACCGGCGGGCATCGTGCAGGGCATATTTGGGCTGCGTTGAAAGCAAAGCGCTGACCACCTTGGGCTTGTGGCCGGTGTAAGGCGAGGGTCGCATGAATTGAGGCGGCGGCGGCCTCCACAAGCCGTCGTGCAGTCGACGGCGGCGCTTGGCTGAGGAGCACCCCTTTTCTGTGGACTTCCTTTCCTGCAGAGCGCTTTTATGAAAGTGCATCAACACCTCACATCTTGGACTGGGTCAGGGCAGCGACACAGATCAACAAAACACACAGCAGCCTGCCGGCAGGTGCTCAGGACCTCGGCCCCAGTGCCGCAGCTCTGCAGAGATCTGCTCTGTGCTGTCATGCTCTTCAAGCCTGTCGTGATCACATGCCTCCCCACTGCTCATGCGATGGTGCGCTCGCGAGCCTGTCTTCCGATATCCTCTGCTGCACCGACAAGAAGGCAGCCAGGAGGCGTGCGGCTGCTCGCGATATTCAGCCGATGGCTGGGAGTGAAATTGCCATTGAGTTTTGATGCATCTCTTCTTTTTTGTAAGCAAATGTGGGTGGACGTGTGCAGCAATGGCACTGCTGGCTCATGCATGGCGCTGGTTGGGGGCAGGCTGGCAGCGCTGGCAGCAGTCATTGTCACGACTGTCCACACAGCGCACGCAGCTGGTTTGTGTTTGTCGATAAATTCTTATGTTGTTCATTATTATAGGCTTTTCCTGTATCGGTGTGCCTACATTGCGTCAGAAAAACCTCTCGCAGGCGCCATGGCGGAGAAACCGAGCTTCGAGGTTCGGAGCAGCGAGTTCCACAACATGGAGCCCAGAACTCGAGAAGATCGCTTGGCAGCTCGTGCGCGGGAGAAGCTGGAGCAGAGCATGCTGCGGGCCCGTCGCGGGTGCTTCCACAAATATGAGGACCCCGGAAACCCCGTGGTTCCCGAGCCAACTAGCCCCATGTATTCTACAGAGACTGAAAGGTTCAAGCGGGACGTCGCAGGGGAGATGCATCAGCACAAGGTGGACGCGTTGATGCGACAGCAGGTGCGCTTGCGCTTGTGTGCGCTCTCGCCGCTGCATTAAGTTGGCGCGATGCTTGCATGCAATACCACATGATAAATGTATTTTTATACGCATGCAAATGGTTTGACGCCTTACTAGCAGCTTGTTGGAGAGAGCTCGACTTGGTAGGCAGCCCACACATGACAGGCGCGCCCAGTGACTTGCGCATTGTGGCGCGCTGCAATGCAGGAAGTATACGACCGAAAGCGAGTGGAACAGATGGAGAAAGAGCAGCAGCGGTGGGATCGGATGGCGGCACAGGCGGCAGAGGAAGCGGCGCGGATGGAGGCGGTGCGTGCTTCGGGCCTGCGCGGGAAGCAGAACCATGGGAGCGAGCACTTCAACATAATCACACTGAGCTACCACGAGACGCCTCAAGGCCAGACACTGCAGTACAAGGTATGAAGTAGGTTCTCATTGGTGCGCAGACCCATTGCTTTGCGAGAACCCATACACAAGGTACACAGATGGCTAACGTCAAAGCACCGAAATCAAAAGCTGTCTCATCCGTGCCACATGCTTCATAGCTTGTCTTGCAGTGATGAGCACAGCACCCCAATAAGTTCACGCCACGGGCTCAAAGAGACATTGCACACACTTTGGACGCAGGACGAGGTGACTCGCTACCGCGCGGTGCTGCGCTCCCAGAACCTGTTCAACAAGAACCACTCGGTGACGCACAACATCATTACCGGGGAGGCGCGCCCCAACCCAGTCCCAGTGCCGCCTGCCCCGTCACCGCCGCAATAGGCGCACATGGCGAGCATAGCTTGCGATCAAAGTGCATGCACTCTTGACTCTCACAGCATGCAAGTCGCGGGATGGGAAGGGCTGCTGAGTGCGCAGTGCGGTGGTGTGGGACAAGGACCAACATATATGGCAGACACGGATGACTTGCTTCGTTCCCTGGAAGGCCATACGAAAGCGGCAGCAAGCAGCCAAGCATGCGTACAACTTCATCGTAGTGTTTTTTGTTGTTGGTGGCATGTACAGATGTTTGAGTGGAAAGCGTGCGGTGTGCCTGTCAAGCATTCTCTTTCACTTGTACACAGTCGGTTGCACTTCGACGCCCAAAAGAAATGGTGTTGCGGGTGTGGTAGCGCCAGCTGGGTGGTAGGACCGGTGTCATGATTGCGCCAGCCGTTGTCAAGATTATTGACGGCGCTCCCAGCATGCTGGGGGCGCCCGGCTCGCACTCCTGGGCAGCAAGCGCCCGGCTCGGGCTGCACAGCGTGCGCGTGTGCCGCAGACCGATTGGGTCGGCGGTTGTAGGTGGCAAGCGGGTCACTGGCGGGGTGACGCATGCATATGCTCGGGTCAGCCGCAGACGTGCCTTGCTTTGCGTTTGTTGCAGAAAATCAGACTTGGAGGTTGTGGCCGGTCACTGAGAGCAAGGATCTGGCAGACACACAGGTATCAGGCAGGGCTGCGGCCGCGGGAAACCCCGAGAAACCGCCGCTACTGTGGGGGGCGCCAGCCGACGACGGCCCGCACCCTGCAGTAGTCCAGGAACAGGCCCGGGAGCAGCTTGGCAGGCTCCGCGACAGTCTCGCTCCGCCGCCGCCAGGGGTGGCGGGCGAGGGGCCACCAGGCCCCCCACCGGCGCCCACGACAGCGTCACAACATGCTCCGGAGTACCGCCCACACTGGTTCGACCCATTGCCAGAGCGACCATCACCAGCAGCGCGAGCACAGGACCAGGAGGAACGCCAACAACATTGGGTGCGGATCGAGGGGGGTGGGGGCCCTCCACTCACAGCCGCGGTCTGGCTGTTGGGGGACCCGGGTGAATGGCGGCCGCAACAGGCCCACGCGGGCCTTTGGCGCAGCCTTCGCACAGCCATGCTCTCGGCGGTGTGGGGGCTGCGCACACGCAGGCTCGCCACGGGCTCGCAGTTTGGCCCCACCGACGTGGGGCGGGACTTTACTGCGGCCGTGCGGCGCCTCGTGCGCGCCGACTGGCTGCGAGCTACGACGGACATCACCGACATGCAGGGCATGCGGCAGAGCTGTTTTTTTTATAGACAGTCGGTTACACGGGGGTAGCGAGGTGCCGAGCACCTGTGTGCAACCTAGATGTTAACAGGTGAGCTGTGGCCATGTGCGAGGTAGCCCAACGCGCGACATGCGCAAGGGGCGTGAGCAGGGCCGATATGGCACCGGGGGGAAACCCTCCTAACCCCCACGGTCAAGCCACAGGACCGGCCCGTTCCCGTCAGCACCACGATAGCTTGAGGGCCGTGGGCGTCAGGTAGCTCGGCACACAAGCTGCACCGCGCGCCGCAAGCGCGTTGCCGCGCCC